ATGGCGTCGTCTCTGCTAACAAAGAGGTTGCGCCTTACGGAGATTAACGGTCCTCAATAAATTGCCATAGTGAAAAAGGACAAGGTCAACAAGCGTAGCAGTTACGATCTATCTTCAGTAATATAGTATGACAAATCTTTCCCGCTGTTTGTTGTGGCGCAGGGCTGATAGAGTGTCTCTAAGGGATCGAACCTTAGGGAGGTAGCAAAGTGAACTGGCCGTAAACGCGGTGTGGTGTTGCATCACAGGGGAAAAAACCCTGAGAATTCAATCTGGTCGGCCGCATTCGTATAATGAAAGTGGTGCATTGAGAGACATCCGATAGTTGCCCACTATGATGGACTAGCGATTCGAGAGCCCCAAAAAAGAAGGTGGCCAATCGGGAGAAATTCATTACCGTCGACAATTCGGTACTTGAATATGTAAGCCATTACAACAACTATTTTAGCGTGTCCTTGAGTCAGTGTGTTTTGTTGTTGGCTCGAACGTAGCCTATAGGAGCTAGACCGCTTTTCATTAATATTTTATTTGTTTCGCACGGCTATTGAGAAGAAGCATCGATTTGTTCGACGGGGTTTGTGGAACTCATTCTATAGAGAAGAAGAGGACGTAGGTCTCTGCTTGCGATCGTCTTCCTTCGTCTCGTTAATTTCGATTATTTGCTTGTTCATGACCACGTCAGTCAACGAGGCGATCCGGCAAATATTGACGTCAATATCAGCAGCGTTTTTTTCCACCGAAATAAAGAAACAACGCTTAGCACAATTCATTAGAAGCACAGTTAGCGCACTGGAAGCAACCGACCGAAGCAGCAGCTTTGAAATAGGGTCTCATCAAATCTCTTGATAAATCAATCAGCTCAGATCACTCAGGTCGCGCAATGGGCCTAAACCATTATCTATTTTACGTCTGGTACTGCTATGAACGGCTTATTTCACCAGAACAAGAAGAAGTGTATTTATATTTCGTTTTCAGCTTGGATGGTTTTATACCTCCTTGGGTTTAATAAGCAAACGTGTTACTCCTTCATCGTTAGAGACTTGCGAACTTGTTACTCTATTGGGGAGAAATAGCAGCGACCTATAACATTTCGAAACGAGATATGGTCTGTCTATATTTTAGATTTATAGATAATTTAAAGAAATATAAAGCTTACTTAGACGAAGAAAAAATAAATGAAAATAAATAGTGCACTTTTTGTAGGACACTTCAAGGCTAGGGTATTTCGTTAGTATCACCACCATCTGGTTTGCACCGATTGATTCCGCGGGCACGATCTGATGATGGCACTCCATTCATTGGCTGTACTTACATTTGCTATTATTTCGTTCGGGATCAAGCAACCCTTTTGTACCGAATATATATATATATATATCAGGTTGTAGAAGTGGTTAATGTATGCCGCCTATAACGGACGAATGTGCAGCAGACACTCGTTTCCAAATTTGCAGCACAAGGTGCGCTGTAATTTGCAATGTAGTTTCTAGAACTGGCCTATACCGCGATAATAGATTTTAATTTCCTAGAGAAGAATAACTAGCAGTCTTTGCGATAGGGCAGGATACATCTTAAAATGGCGCGGGTTGATCTCGACGTTGTCATTTTTTCGAAATACGTCTTGTTTCTCTGGCCGAACAAGAAGTTGCATTTCGCTAAATATCTTTTGTACGTTCCGTATGAGCGATCCTCAGTTAATCTGAATAGTTTTCTCCTGTACGACATGAGCATGTTTTGAGCTTTTCGGATCACGGGACATTCTGCTGAGCACAAGTGATGAGACGAACAGGTCGAGAATCCCGCTTACTTTCAAAATCAGCTACGGAAAAGGTGTTGTTATTTTTGTTAGCAAATTGACGTTGGGGAAACCGAGACGTTTCCCAATGATGACAGTTACGTGGTCGATTTTTAAAATCTGCTCTTCATTATCATTTCAAAAACCATGTGAAATTACATTACGTGAGATATAGTCCACACAAACAGTTCTGATCACACCTAAACACGCCACGCACCAATTAAATATAGTGAAATAGGCAATAAAATTAAAAAAATTTGAACGTCAGTATCATAAAACTGGCTACATTATTCACAGACGTATTAGAGCCAGACTAAGATCTTAGCCCATCACCAAAGACAAAGGAAACATTATAGGATTCTACGTGGAATATTATCGAGCCAAATAGAGCCCTAAAAGCCAAGAAACACATATCGTTGCCAAGGCAACGATTATGTGTTTCCTATGTATCCTAAAAAAAATTCTGTTTTCAAGAAGTGATCGAGAAGGAAAGACAAATTGCAGGACAGTGAATGGTTATAAACAGGCTCTGTCTAATTAGGACAACATCAATATTCGATCGTAGCATATGTATTCAAGTCGCTACTTTTATTAAATCGATGTTTGTATGCGTTCCGGATTCTGTGGGGATGTCCGCAATAGAATAACTTCAACCTAACGAAATCGACACACCAGGATCACTCTTTTCTGGGCAGTATTAACTATTTGGTCGCAAGTTATCAGCCCACAAGAACCTAAGCTGTACTTGGTTACATGTCAGCGTTGCCTCATACGCACGCTTCCCTTTCGTAGGAGATAAGGTCTGTGATATATATTCCGACTATGGTTTTAGACAGAAGTAACCCTATAGTAAACCTCACCTGATTGCTGATAGAGCCTTCCTGCTTCGTATCTGAAAATATGTTAGTTAACAAAACTTTAATTTCTGCGAAGAGGACAATTGTTTGTTAATTATGACGCCATGGAATATTAGGACTTGACTGAAAACCTTTGTGTGGTTTTCTGTGACTGATTAATATATCATGTGAGAAAGAATAACAGATGAGTGGAACTACATACGAGTTATCAGTCGCTAACTGATACCCATACACATATTATGCTAAAACATAGGATTTTCTTATTTCATGTCTATTCTCGATTGTTACCGAACTAGCTCCTCTTCTGATTTTGATAGAAGCATGAACGGGCCCATTGCAATCTAGTCAATTTTTTGAAACAGATATTCTTTGCGACCGTGTATGTAGGATCAGCCTTCGACGTTTTAGCGTTCGCTTAATTCAGCATTGATCGATTCAAAAGAACGCACCGTACCACCGAAGCCTTTAAGTTAGTGTTAATGGAAACTGTTGATTTTAGCTCGTTCTCCTTTATGTTTACTTAACGACTAAAGTTTACAGAAACCAACCATTGCAGAAATATGACTGTGTTTATTAGCACGTGTTGGTCGTTTAGACAACGTTCGTCTCTGTCTTGAGGACTATCCTCCTTAAACGGCTTCTCCTGATGTTATTGTCTAGAAAACGTAATCGAGTATACCTTACCATATAGTAGCTCACGTAGAAACGTTGTTGCCTTAATTGGTATAAGTATGCCGCGTATATGTTGAGGTTGTATGTGGTATTTTAAGATCATCAATCATCACTACCGGAAATTATTAAAATTGATACGGCAAACTGACGAGCGACGTAACATTTTATAATTTATTATATGTTACGTTTACTTAGGCGCATCAAACCACATCGAAATGCCTTTTGGCCAATACCTCTTTTTCCTAAAACACCATTACGAAAAACTCTGTACTATAATGTTATTTTACGTGTAATTAGTTCACGAACGCATTATCTCCGTCATTGGTATTCAACCCGGATTGGAAATCAGCTCCTTACATCAGTTGCCAACGCCGCCGCTAAAGTTGTTTTTCTGCGCAAGCCAAAAAGCTATAATAAAAACAAATCATTTTTCTTGAACAAACCCATCTATTTTCTATGTCCTATCTGCCTAAGGCCCCGTTCACGGCCGGCAGTGATGAGTGTTATCGTGGCGAAATTCTGCAAAAGCATCCCAGTCCACTTCCGGACTTGTTTCTTTCGTCGTATAATCGGCGCATTACTGCCCACCTTGATCCGTTTACGGTAATTAATTCAGTTAGAGGAACTACGATTCATGCTGCGCTACACTGGACCGAGCAATCACTTCCACGAGCACCATTTGAAATCTCGTAGCGGCAGTGACAGCTCACCGTCAATCCGTGATGCCGAATGAATGCGCGCGTAAAATACTCAACCGTAACTTCCATCATGATCCGGGCGCGAAGGTTTGGCCGGCTTGTTTCCTCTTCAAAGATGAGCCGATCGCCCAGCCTCAATGCTATTACCTCTGTGCAGCGAGCATGATGTGAGTCTTCTGATACAATGATTGTCTTTCTGTGAGAAGAAGAACTGCGATGTGGCAGAGCAACAGGTCTTTTTCAGCTCGACACGCGCGACGCCGTCGCCTCTTGTGGTGTGTACCGTAGGGGAGAGTGACATCTCGAAGGGGGCAATCTAGCTACTAGTGTGATGATTAGCTGTTGACGTTCCTTGTGCGTTTAATGTAAAGCTTTGATTGTTTACATGGCTGATACTGCACACCCTATGGCATGTTTAGCAGATGTTAGAACAGGCTTCTGGCTATGGTTAATCGGGCATGGCGGGTAGTGGACCCTGCAATGGCGCGTATCGTCCGAAGAGTATTTAGTACAGCTTTTCCGTCGCCCTTGTTGGCCCTCCCAGTGTTACAAGTACGGTGATTGCTACTCAGGTGCTCAATATAGCAGACCGTTTCTTGCAGTACCGATCGGTCGCTGCGATGAGCGCACTTCTATTTTCTTCGTTTACTCCTTCCGCAAAGCACCGTATCCTGTCTATACCACAGGCGTTAGTAACGAAATGGGACGAATCAGCGAGCTTCGATAGCGAGAATCAGATGTTCTTGCCCGTACTGGGCTCTACATAGACTGCTGCTGCCGCCTCAAACACGCCACCTAGCGATACGACATCAACCATCACAGTGACGGTGAATCGGCTGGGGAAGATGGAAATCAAGAAATTGCGGCAGTTGCTGTTACCCCTCGCCTCGCGGTCACCCAGTGACTGAAAGAGCGGCTGCAACGGCAGCAGACCGCAGCCAATGCACAGAAGCTCCCCCCACAGCTGCCGCTCGCATGATTCGCCCGCGCACACTTCGTTACGTCAAGTATCGACAAACCGTTTGAGCTGAACGACTGGATAACTCGTAGTCAAGTGGTCGATTATCGTGGCGACCAGCGAAATAACGTTGGATAGTCAAAACGGCTGTGACGTCGGATCAATCCATTTGCGATGTCGTGTTGACATCGTATTTCACAGTAGGTTGTATTGGCGCTTTGAGCGTAACAGTCTCCTCCAGTCTGGCAACGAAGCATGGTTACATGTGGACGGGTGCGCGGATTTAAGGCTTTCGACAGGAACCAAAAGCTTTGATAGATGAAACCTGTGGGACTCTCAAAGTGAGCGTCGTTAGAGCGTCTCAAATCACTAAGCTGTAAAGGGGAATAAGCGCAATTATTTAGGGTGCATGTATGACATAGTGCAATTGGTTTCTAAGATACTGTGTTATTCTTCATAAGGTAGATAAAAGGTGACGGGGTACTGATCTGCTACTCTTTCGACTGTAGAGTGATCTGACTTCTGGTAGAACAAGGTGCATCCTTTCTCGGCTTTTTTCTTGCGGTGATAACACTCATTGGATTCACTCTCCTATTGTGAGTTACCCTTGCTCTCAGTTATCAGAGCTGCTATTATATCTCAAACAGAATGTTGATTAAAATGGACGCTAATCCGGAACCGCCGCCGCGACACAAACGCGGACGTAAGGCTTCTATGTTAGCGACACCCGCTGACGAAGCTCACTCGATTTCGTTAGAAAGCGCTTCGGACGATCCGCAGTCATTAACCGCCGTCATAACCTCATCACCGTCGTCATCAACGACTGGTATACCTAATCCTCCTCAAATGCAACCTCAAGACATACAGATTTCAATGCAGGTCCCTCCTCGACAGAGGAGGTTGTCAAGGCGCACGTCTAACCCCATCGACAGACGCCCAGTCGATCAAAATGACTTGCAGAAAGAATACTACGCGGCAACAGCTGCGGTTATAAGTACGGCTCGAGGGGACAACGCAGGATACCCGTTTAAGGATACCCCACATTCGATGATGCGGATTGCCTCCTCCGGCCATCACACAGCGAAGAATAATTTAGCAGCACATTCACAAGCGATAAACAATGGCTCGTCTCGAAGGCAAGTGACGTTTGTCGACGATGAGTTGGCAACTCAGGAAGGTCGTGCCGATGAAAATGGCCGGCCTTCGAGGACGGCACGGAGCACGAACAAGAGGGCCGGCGCAGGTGTACGAGGTAAGTTGACCTACGTGTGGACCCTTAGAGAAAGCAAATTTGCGAGAGCATATTGAACTAGGTGAAATTGGTACCTTTGTCTTTATACATGCTACTATTAATAGTAGTGCTAGCGAATTAATATTCAGTAACTAGTTAGCGCGGAATTTGTAGCAATGACCATATGTTTAACTTCTCACACAAAGTTAATGCCATATTAGCATCATATCGTTCATACCTAAATAAAATAGATCAATTAAAGTTTCTAATTTTTCAATTAAAATTCGATAAATCTTTTTTTTTTCTTATAAGAATATCAACTAAAAGCTCATCACGGATACAGATTGCTCTCTATTGAAATACGCCCCCATAGCTTTCTGATACTTCCTGAACGGTTTATTGTTTCCCCGACTGTTATCCCTTTCACTCGCGCTAGTTTGATAACATTGGTAATGCCGTCTATAAAGACAGATAGCGTTCATTGGGGACTCGATTTAATAAAAAAAAAAATAAAAAAAAAAGGCTCAAAATTAGGTAGTTACCGGTTTTGTTAATAGGCAAAGAGCTGCACATCGATTAAGTCTCTCTTGCGCCTGCTAGCCTTTTCTTTGGCCAGTAGTAGAAGTCTGCCGTTTGATCTTATGCTATTGATGTGCGGCCCAGCATAGCACCCATGACGACTTAACTTTCGGTTAGTTTTTAACAGTTAGACGTATTGGGCAGTAGCTTCTTTAACGCTACGGTAATGGAATCGTGTTCAGAATCAACGTATGACGATTTGAAAATGCAAATATGAGAGATTCAACAGTGGAATGGGCGGTGACAGAACTGCAACAGGGGCCTCGTGATGAGCCTGAGCGAGAAGGCTTCGTAAAAACTACGAAAATCCCAATAGAAGATCGTGCGCCTAAAATCGAGACTCAAAAAATCGTGACTAAAATGTTTATTTCATCATAGCTAAACTTCTGTTAAGGTCCAAGATTACCTAGGTTTAGGTACAGCGTGATTGAGATGTTCACCTATTTCAAACTGCAAAGAAAAACTTCCTTTTTTGAATTTCCTTCTCCAAACAGAATGACGACCCAAGTTATATCCTATTTTTTTGTATTTATATGTAAAAAAAAAATGTAAATATCTAATAAAAAAATATTTTTCGAGAATAAGAAAGAAACTGGCAAATGTTAGTGAGAGTCTTTGCAAAACTGCACAAGCCATCTTTACAGAAGGCTGTAAAGAAGTAAGCAATGCCGATGTAATTGGGATGAAATAATGTCTACATCAACTTGATTAATAGTTGAGACAATAGGAAGACTAGACTGGCAAAGAAGCTAGTACTGTAAGCTACTTTTCGCCAGGCACCCTCATATCCCTGTTTAAACATGAGAATCGTATTACGCTGTTGAGGAATAGCTAACAACAACATTAGAGGCCTGCATTGTTTAGACTTGGCACAACAACAAAGGAACTGCACCCGTACAAGTTAGCACATTAAAAAACGGGCATATCAGTGATATCAATACTTCAGGCTCTACGGTCCTCGGCGCGGACCTTTATCTATCGCCAAAGCCTTATATAGAAAATATATTATATCTTTAACGGGAAACACGCTCTTTATTCGTTTTTAAGTATATGTTACGAAATAAAAAGAAGTTCTGAAGTGTATAATGGTAGAAAATTAGGGCCAACGTCGAACACGTTCGGTTTAATTGCTGAATGTTGCTAATGACAAGTAGCGAAGCCCCGCATTGATCTGTTTTTCCTGCTAAGCGCAAACACATCTATGCCGAAATATTCATGACGCTTTTTATTGATGTTATCAAAAGTCTTGTTGTACGATAGCTGACCATCTTTGTTTATCGCTTCCCGTTTCAAATTTTTGTCCCGTGATGACCAAGTGTTATATACTGTCGAAAACCTTTTTCGCTCTACAATGCAGTTGCGGTGATCGGTGCGTTCGTTCGTTCGTTCGTTCGTTCGTTCGTTCAAGTGATTTAAAATTTTTACCTGAATTCGAAAATCAAAGGAGGCTGCAACGAAAAAGAGATCTAAGACACCAAATTTTTTGACTGAGTCAAAATATGACGGACGCAACCCAGTTTGCTCCGCAGACGAGTGAATACCCCATAGCTAATAGATGCAGGCCCATCTAACAATGACTCCTTCTTAAAGACGGTTCTAAGCAATTTTCGTTGAACTCGAGAAGTCGCATGCGATCCGTCCTTTCGTTAGAATATTTCGGTTTTTATTTTGGCACACCACCCTTGAGCAGTGCTACAGGGTTCTCGGCTAACAGACCGTATCCGTCAGATATCCAATGAGAAGCTTAAAGAGAACATTTTTTGCCTTCATCTTTAGGATTTGTGAGAATCTAATAGTATATTTGGGCCGCTTCAACTCTAGATCGTACTCCGTTTATACGATAAACTTCAGTGAATAGATAATCAATGTGGACCTGAATTGTACTACATAGCGATCAACAGACATCGTTTTGAGAGATGGAGCTTTTTTTTGGTTAGAGCGCAAGCATTCACCCCGCTTTTGCACCCGAAATAGGTACTTCTATTCCAGGCATTATAGTAGCGAACGGGGTTAGAAGTTTCTCGGTTGCTTTGATTCGTCCCGGGTTGATTTTTACGAATTTCGCCGCGTACGTTATTATAGACGCAATGCTATCTTCTAGAATTACGTACTACTAATGACCAAACAGGCCGAGGCGTGTAGAATTTATGACACTTCGGTAGGACTCGCCCGATGTCACGTCAGTAATTGTGGCAGAGACAGAAAAGAGACCTATCGAATCCGGATTTAGCAAAAAAGAAAGCAGCATCAAAGAAAAAAATCATTAACGTATATCTAGATACCGCTTGGTCTCCATACATTTTCGATGTACATATTTCGATTTCGTTGATCTAATTATAGTAGTAATCTTCATGAGTATAATTTTTAGTCTTTGAATATTTCGAAGAGAACTATTCTCTAAACCAGATCGCACTCAACAATATTCTCTTTCTTTAAGCTCACTCCTGGCTTTCCGAAAAAGAAAGGAACAAAAAAAACAGGGCAAAAGAAGCCATATTGCGGTAGCATGACTGCTCTGCTGATTATCGGTGCCGGCAGTGACCGATATGGTTCTACACAGCTTCTTTATGTTACTACTATAGCGGTGAAAGTGACCCAAATCCCGTTGAGCGTCGAGTCTCGTCACGATTGATAACGAAAAGAGTTTAGTTTTGTGTTTAGGTTGCCATAGCTTACAATTAGCCAAGTTTGTAAAGAGGTAAATTCATCCAATTCAAATACTGACAGCCGCATGATTTTGGAAAAAAAAAATGCAATGAATTTATGAATAAAAGCCTAATAGAACGATTCTCATCACACCTTAGGACCTCCAGCAGGAGCGATATAGCAACAAACTTTTATCCCCCCCTCCCCCCCCCTTCTCTGACATAAGATATCCAATAGCGCTAACGTTAACCTGTAAAATACACAGCGGTATTTAAACAACACTTTCAGACTTCGTCATGGCCATGCGCACATCGATGTCTAGTGGGAAAAATCAATTGTAAATTTTCGTTTATCCTGCCATAACTGGCGAAGGCTGGCTCTGCTTTCAGCCGACAGGTGGCGCCGCCGCCGCCGCCGAGTATCGCAAACGACCTATGTCCGTGGGCACGGCACGACAATCGTCTATTCTCTACATTAGCATATCGGCCAGCGCTTGTTTTTCTCAATGATAGGGAGAAATTTTCGCCACTTTCACTCCCGCCAAGTACATACTCACGCTTACACAGACACACATGCATTGATCTGTATGTGCGTATACGAGTGCTACAGCTGCGCTGGTGCCCCGAGCAGATTCACAATTGCTCTTCGTTTGACCATCAGGAACAAGCTGGCGGCAGCGGGGCTCATTTAGCGTCCTTTCGCGTTTGTTCGTTTCGGATATCGAAAGACTGCAGTCGTCGCTCATCGCTTGGTCGATCGGACTTCAGTTTCTTGAACTTCAGCGTCGATCGCTTGTTACTGCTGCTATTGATATTTCATTTTACTGTTATTCTCTCTAACGCGACCGTTCTTACCATTACTACTATGGCTGCTGCTGCTGATGTTACCATTTCAACTATCTGTAACGGGCAGCGTGCAGCGTCAAAGTCCAGTCAGCAGCAGGACGAAGACAAAGCTGTTCTATTGCCACGTTGCGCTCTGACTTTCGTTACTGCTGGCTTCGGTGACGAGATTTCTCTTGGCTGGGGTATTCTCTATCTGAATTCAATGTACGACTTTGCCCTGGCGGATGGATGGATCGCTCGCTCGCTGGCGGCTGCTGCTGCTGAATAGCGAGTCGCTGATCGCTTGATTAGTTATTTGCTTTGCGGCTCCTTGCCTCGTTGCCCATCCTCACTGTAGCAATGCAGCGTCACTCCGTCCGGATTTGTCCTGTTGGCCGAGTGTGCGTGCCTGACTGCGCAGGATGGTCTCAGCGTCAGTCTGTGTATGTGTGCGTACGTGCATACGTATGTACACATTGATTATGCGGGAGGAACGGAATCGGACAGCATATTCGAACGAATTCTGCTTGTTTTTTCTTCATTTCATCTTTTCGCTCGTGCGCTTCCTGGACTCGGGACTTCCTTCTCTCTACTAGGATCGTCAGACGACGTTCACCCGTTGAAGTGATGCTCGGAAGAAGTATACGTTTCCATACACTCATCGATCGTGTCTCCCATTATTGACTAGCTAGCGGTAAAAACGAAAGAAACAAGCGAGCCAATGTCTATGCATGACTACCCTGCAATATAATTAGTACGCGCCGTTTATGCTCGCTGACATTCGTTTTTTGGCTTGTCTTTCTCCATATTGATCATCCACTGTACTCTGGTCATATCGCTCTTAAACGGGACCTCTAACTGAAACGACATAATATGATGATGTTTTATATTCGGCTGTGGCATGAGTCCTGCTCATTTCAGGCTTAAGGATGCCTTAATAGGAATAGCCAGTTTGACTAACACGGTATAGCA